TAAAGTTTAGTGCATTTGAAGAACTGAGAAGACCAATGTAGCTGTAGTTTATTGTTAAAAGGAAATAGGTAGCAAGTTGAAGAGGCATGCAGGAGGCAGGTTGTTAAGGAATTGTTAAGACCAAGTTAAGGACTGTGGGTCTTTTCCTAAGAACGGTGGGAACCACTGAAGCATTTTGAACATGAAAGTGCCAGGCTGAATATCACTCTGGCTGTTAGGGGTGGAAAACTAGCAAGGCGGACAGCTAGATAAAATGCTACTTTTGTGTCCAAATAAAAGATAATTTTGGCCTGGATCATCTATTGACAGTAGAGAGGGAAAGAACAATTTCAAGACATATTTAGGCCAACCTCAAACAAGATTGCTGTATGAGTGTTATAGGAAGAGAATGGAGCTCAGATGTTTTCACCTTTTGGGGCTTGACATATTTGCTCAGGGACTTAATTGGTATCTTAAATCCATTCATTTTCCTAGTTTCTTTTCTGGCATAGAAGTCTTACAAAATAATAGCTACTAAACACTGTGCAGTTACTTTATACAACTACATATATACATTATGTGTGATTTCAGAATTATTCAATAATCATTGGAGCTGGGGTTCAGAATACTTATCTGCATCTTTGAAATCTGCCAATAGTACCACATTACCTCTATCTGCTATTCCTTTCTCTCAGATTTTAAAACTAGATTCTCAATTACAGTAGCTTTTGCTGTATCCCCTTTTTTGCTCTCCCAAGCTTAGCTTCATAGACTTCCTACACAAACATGGATTTTATCAAATGGCATAAATAAGCCACATTCTAACCACAATAGATTCTTCCTTCTTCATTGTTCATTTATCACATTAATCTTTCATCAGGATACTGCTGTATCTGAAGTAACATTCTCTTTTATTTCCTTCAGATTCTATGCAATTTATGTTTGTTACCTATTTATCCTAGATTTTTTTCTAGGTGTAGTTAGTGCTCCAAACAACCCTAAGAAATGGGTTAATTGGTAATTACCCACATTTTAAAATGTATATGACGCTAGATTTATTCTCTTACAAAATTGGGGTAGAGCCTAGACATCTTTATATTAATCAAGGTCCCATGTTTGAAGGTTTTTTTTTTTTAATTTAGATCACTATAGGAACAACTGACTAATCTATTTTCCTAAATATCTCTTTACCTTCCAGTGTGACTTCTCATTCTTTTTACTTTCCTTATCTGTGTGTCAAGTTGCCCCATCATATTTGAGAACTGTATAAACTACTCACTTTTTATGAAAATTAGTTTCGGTTAAGTCTTTTCATTTTTATTATAAAAGTTTTTTTTCTCCCAGAACACAAAAAAAGTGAATGTTTGCTTTTATATTTTCTTTCAGACTGTGAATCAAGGTTGAGACCAAGAAATTATTTCTGAAAAAGGATATTTATGGAGTAGAATCATCCTGATGAGAGATAATGGAAAGACTTTTAAAAAACAGCATTGAGTGTTCAAGTTTCAGAGGTGATTGGGAATGTAAAAGCCAGTTTGAGAGAAAACAGGAATCTCAGGAAGGACATTTCAGTCAAATGATATTTACTTCTGAAGACATGCCCACTTTCAATAACCAGCATCAGAGAATACATACTGATGAGAAACTCCTTGAATGTAAGGAATGTGGGAAGGATTTTAGTTTTGTATCAGTCCTTATTCGACATCAGCGAATTCATACTGGTGAGAAACCTTATGAATGTAAAGAATGTGGCAAGGCCTTTGGTAGTGGTGCAAACCTTGCTTACCATCAAAGAATTCATACTGGTGAGAAACCTTATGAATGTAGTGAATGTGGAAAGGCCTTTGGTAGTGGCTCAAACCTTACCCATCATCAGAGAATTCATACTGGTGAGAAACCATATGAATGTAAAGAATGCGGGAAAGCCTTTAGTTTTGGATCAGGCCTAATTCGACATCAGATAATTCACAGTGGTGAAAAGCCCTATGAGTGTAAGGAATGTGGGAAGTCCTTTAGTTTTGAATCAGCCCTTACTCGGCATCACAGAATTCACACAGGTGAGAAACCTTATGAATGTAAGGATTGTGGAAAGGCCTTTGGCAGTGGTTCAAACCTTACTCAACATCGAAGGATTCATACTGGTGAGAAACCTTATGAATGTAAAGCATGTGGAATGGCCTTTAGTAGTGGTTCAGCCCTTACTCGGCATCAGAGAATTCATACTGGTGAAAAACCGTATATATGTAATGAATGTGGGAAGGCTTTTAGTTTTGGATCAGCCCTTACTCGACATCAAAGAATTCACACTGGTGAGAAGCCTTATGTATGTAAGGAATGTGGGAAGGCTTTTAATAGTGGCTCAGATCTCACTCAACATCAAAGAATTCACACTGGTGAGAAACCCTATGAGTGTAAGGAATGTGAGAAGGCCTTTAGAAGTGGTTCAAAACTTATCCAGCATCAAAGAATGCACACTGGTGAGAAGCCCTATGAGTGTAAGGAATGTGGGAAAGCCTTTAGTAGTGGTTCAGACCTTACTCAACATCAGAGAATTCATACTGGTGAGAAACCTTATGAATGTAAAGAATGTGGCAAGGCCTTTGGTAGTGGCTCAAAACTTATCCAACACCAGCTAATTCACACTGGTGAAAAACCCTATGAATGTAAAGAATGTGGAAAGTCCTTCAGTAGTGGTTCAGCTCTCAATCGGCACCAGAGAATACACACTGGTGAAAAACCTTATGAATGTAAGAAATGTGGGAAGAATTTTGGTACTGGCTCAAGCCTTACTCAACATCAGAAAATTCATACTGGTGAGAAACTTTATGAATGTAAGGAATGTGGAAAGGCTTTTGGGAGAGGTGCAGAGATTCAGCAACATAAAAAATGTCATACTGGTGAGTAGTAGATCTGTGAATTGGAAACTCTATAAGTTAGAATTATGTGGTTAAGGAAGGACACAGGACAGAAAAGAAAATTCATACTAGTGAGAGTCACTACAAATGTAATTAAGGTACAAATGCCTTACTTATGCTTTACCACTTAGTCTGAAAGAATTTATACAGAAAAAGAAAAACCACTCTGAAGATCTCTGTCTATATTCATTCTTTCGTTACTTTTGGAAAATTCATACTTGTGAATATTAAAAATTAAAAAACCATTTATTGTTTTTTGCCTTTATTTTAAACATTGAAAAATTCACTTGGGGGCTAATCCTGCTACCTTTGTTTTTTTTTATGTTCTTAATTTTTTGTGCATTATACAGAATTACTAATCCATCTCAAAATTATTTTAAATTATTTATTGAGGGTCTAAATTTAGCCTTCTTCCTGTTTCTCATTTGAATGCCATTTATTTAATAACTATATTTTTGTATTTTTTATTGCCTGTTTGATGGTAAGTTATATTTTTATACATATAAAGCATGGATATCGGGTCAGTCTTTGTTTCTAAATTTGCATATCTGTGTTTGTATCTGTGTTCCATTTTGTTCGTGTTAAGTTACTGTTACTTTTAAGTATCCTTTAATATCTTGTGGATCTGTATCTTTTGTTTTGGAAGATTGCTTTATTTTCCTTTTATAAAGTTTATACTTCTCTTTTTGCAAAATAATTTTTCTCTATATTAATGTAGATATGAACAAAATAGATAGTTATCTGTAATCATACCGGTCATAGACAATCTTTGTCAAACTTTTGGAGCAAACTCTTTAAAACTACATATCATTGTTTTTGACAGAAAGTGTGATTGTGCTATACTATAACCAGCCTTTAATATTCGTTGTAAATATATTGGTTACTCTTTTATTGGCTTCAAAGTATTCACCTGTCTTTATCAAACCCCTATTTTGTCAAATATTGAAAATTTTACCATTATAAAGAGTTATCTTGATGGCCCCTTTTGAATGTGTCTGCTTTGTTTTTTATTCATTTCAGAGAAAATGTGTGGGATCTCTTCTACTTTTAAACATTTATACATTATAAAGCTCTGCTTCCCTTTGGCCAACATTCTTGACCCAGTTATTTCCTAAATGTTAACCGACTTATTCTTCCAGGTCATTTTATATGCATATATAATGTGCTTTTGGTAATGTGGGCATAATTCGTTCACTTCAGAGGCTTGTTATGTGGATTCTACAATTGTGCCTATCACATAATAAAACTTGCATAGTATTAGCCTTCGTCATTATTATTATCTTTCAATTTTGTTTTTTTAGGGAAAAGTTTTTAGCTAGTATCCTTGTCTTATTCAACATCAAAGACATCATAATGGGAAAAAAAGATATTCATGTAAATGAATATAATAAAATTTTGACTAACATCTGTTTCTTATAGAACAGGGATAATTCATCTTGATAAAGAAAAATATGAGATTGTAATGTGTGAGAAGGCAAAATTCATACTGAGGTAAAAATAAAGAGGGTAGCTCCTTCATAGAAATTTGAACTTTGAGTAATGACCTTAGCATAATGACAGCATAAGATGCATACCTTCATTTGGCCTCCAAGTTTAACAACTAAAATTCAGCATCCACCTATAAGAAAAAGGGCCTCTGTGGTTGTTGTGAGATCCAACACCATAAGCTAAAGGACCTGAGAGGAGTCTCACCCACCACATAAAGTAATAAGCTGATAGTCCTTGGTACAGACTGGGGAAACAGCAGAAGTCTGTGAACCAGCCCCAGCCCCTCTTGGCTGCATTCAGGGTAAATCTGGAGACTGCTGATTTGAGCAGACACTCACAGATGAGAGAGCCTTTGCAGAACTTCAGATTTCCTGAGGAAAGATTCTAGCACTCTGTTAGAGAAAAAAAAAAAAAAAAAGGTGGGGGGTGGGGGGTGTAAGATGAACTTCGCCAGTGCTACCTGTTCCCCAAGGCAGCACACCATGTTGCTGAACTAACCAGCAATGACTTCTGCAAGTGATAATAGTGGGTGATTGCCCAGCTTCCCCACCTGTATAGAATGCTGCTGAAGAAACTTGTTTCTCTGCTGCAGCACCCATAGTATTGAGGCAGTACCTGATAACAGGATATAAGAATATCAGAGTGCATTAAAGAAATACAGTTTCAGGGTGCCTGGGCAGCTGAGTCGGTTAAGTGTTTGACTTTGGCTCAGGTCATGATCTCAAGGTTCATGAGTTCAAGCCCCGTGTCAGGCTCTGTGCTGGCAGCTCAGAGCCTGGAGCCTGCTTCAGATTGTGTATCTCCTTCTCTCTCTGCCCCTCCTCCACTTGCCTTCTGTCTCTCAAAAATAAATAAACATTTAAAAAATATTAAAAAACAGCAAAAATAAACACAGTTCTTACTTGGCTGCATTCAGGACTCAAGCAGAAAACTCAACACAAGCCACTGGGAAAGCCTTGCCCAAGGAACCTCCATCTGGCTTGCAGGCACCCCTAAAGCCCCAAATGTTAAACCCACAGCTCCCCCAATTCTTCAGCTCCCAAGTATGGTACTAAGAGCCAGTTTTGGTAGACCGAGAGCATGCAGAAAACAAACCAGAGTCTGTGGCAAGGGAGAAATCACAAACTTGAGCTATAGTATTATCTTAAGAAAGACAAAAGAGGTTTCCAGCAGCTAGCCTGGTGAGTTGTAAGTTTGAGAGGAGACAAAGAAGCCACAAGGGGGCAGGAAGCATGGAGCACATGTATTCCTACAAGGACAGAGAAAGACCTAGTTATAAGCAGGACCAACAAAAAGTATCTCCGACCTGAAGGCAGCTAGTAACGATTGGAGGAGGTGACTACTTCAAATGAGAAAACAGCAATGCAAAACTCCAAGAAACATGGGGAATCCATGAACATGACATCACAAAAAGATCTCAATAATCCTCGATTCAAAGACACAATTATGTGGTTTGCCTGATAAAGAATTCAAATTAGCTGTTTTAAAGAAACTCAATGAGCTACAATAAAACACAGAACTCAGCAAGTCAGGAAAATAATACATGAATAAAATGAGAAATCCAACAAAGAGAAATCCTAAAAACAAACCAAACAAATCTGGAGCTGAAGAATGAATGACATGAAAAATGCAATAGAGAACATCAACAGGATAGACCAAGCAAATATAAAATCAGAGAGATGAAGGGTAGGGACTCCCAGTCAGAGGAGAACCAAGAAAAAAGGAATGAAAGAGAGTGAAAAAAGCCTACAAGATGTATGGACACCATAAAACAAACAAGAATATAAAAAAAGAACTGTAATTTGTTAATGAATTCAGAATAGTAAAAAAAAGGTAAATGGTAAAATCAAAAACATAAAAGAAGGTAATAAAGAATAGAGCTTTTGTATGGGATTAAAGTTACTATTCATCAGCTTAAAATGGACTATTTTAAGCTGACTTATCTAGAAGATGTTTTATGTAAGTCTCGTGATAACCACAAAGCACAAAGCTATTAGATTCACAAAAGATAAAGCGATGGGAATCAGAGCATATCACCATCCGTGGAAAAGGTAGGCAGTAAGAGGGAGGGGGTGGGGTGAGGAAGAACAATGGAACTATAAAACAGCAAGAGAGATAGTAATAAGATGGCATTATTAAATCTTTACATATTAATAATTACCCTGAATGTAAATGAATTTAATTTACCAATCAAAACGGATAGAATGTCTGGATGGATGAGATTCAACTACATGCTGTCTTCACAGAGAGGCACTTCAGCTTTAAGGTCGTACGTAGGCTCAAAATGAAGACATGGAAGAGATATTCCATGGAAACAGAAACCAACAGAAAGTGAGGTTGGCCTTACCGGGTTAGCCCATACTTACATAAGACAAAATAGACCTAAGCCAAAAACTATTATGAGACAAAGAAGGTCATTATATAATGATAAGTTGGTTAATTCATCAAGATGATATACAATTATAAATGTTTATGCACCCACTATTGGAGCCCTAAATATATTAAGCAAATACTGACAGATCTAAAGGGAGAAATAGGCAATACAAGAACAGTAGGGGACTTTAATACTTCACTTTAAGTAATGGATAGATCATTCAGACAAAATCAATATAGAAACATTTGACTTGAATCATACATTAGACCAAATGGACCTAACAGACATATATAAAACATTCCATTCAACAGCAGCAGCAGAATACACATTCTTCTCAAGTGCACATGGAATATTCTCCAGGATAGGTCATATGATAGGTCACAAAACAATTCTTAGGAAATTTATACTGACCTCATACCAAGTTTCTTTTCCAACCACAATGGTATGAAGCTAAAAATCAAGAACAAGAGGAAAGCTGGAAATTTTACAAATATGTGGAAACTAAGCAACACATTCCTGAATAACCACTGGGCCAAGGGAAAAATCAAAAAGAGAAAAAAAAAAAATCTCCAAACAAATGAAAATGGAGATTCAATAGACAAATACAAATGCGATGTTGTGAAAGCAGTTCTCAGAGGGAAATTTATAGCCATAAATGCATATAGTGGGAAAAATGAAAGATTTCAAATAAACAACTTTAAATGTTAAGAAACCAGAAAAACAACAAACTAAGGCCAAAGTTAGCAAAAGGAAGTGACAAAAATCAGAACTGAAATAAATGAAATAGAGACTAGTAGAGCAATAGAAAAGATTAGCAAAGCTAAAATCTTTTCAAAAAGATAAAATTGACATTCAGCTAGACTAAGAAAAAAGGTAAAAGGACACAAATAAAATCAGAAATGAAAGAGGAAACATTCCAAGTGATATCACAGCAATACAGAGGATCATAAAAAACTACTATAAACACTTATATGCTAACACATTGGATAACCTAGAAGTGGATAAATTCCTAGAAGCATATGACCTATCAAGACTGAATTATGAAGAAATAAAAAAATCTAGACCAACTACTATACTAGTAAGGTGCTTCAATCAGTAATCAAAAATTTCC